TGGTATTAATTTTTTTTAAAGAGGATGAATAATTACTTGCCCACGCTATATTGCAATAACTTATGTGACTATCAATAAATGAAAAATACAAGCTTTTTAAGCACATTATATTCAAAAGGTGCTTCGTTTTGAAAAGGATCCCAAGAGCTTTTGAAACGTTGTTTTCCACAAATTGGATATGATTTTTCCAGTTTAAATGATCGTCAAATATTATACCTAGGATTTTCATTGAATGAACTCTTTTTACTTTAATGTTGTTTATAAATAAATCAGGAAGTTTCAGGGGTATGCTATCAGTTTTCGAAGGTTTTGTGAACAGAATGTATTTAGTTTTATCAATGTTTACGGACAGTTTATTGGCTTTAAACCATTCATTGAGATTAATTAGCTCTGTGTTTACAGTAGAAAAAACAAATTTTAAATTAGACCCCGAAAAGAAAATATTAGTATCATCAGCAAAAAGAACAAAATTAAGGAATTTAGAGGATAAGTGGATGTCATTAATATATAAGAGAAACAACAGAGGACCAAGTATTGAGCCCTGAGGGACACCACAACTAATAACTTCTAACTGCGTATAAGTTAAATCATACGTCACACATTGTTTACGATTTTGTAAATAAGACTCGAGCCATTTTATATTAGTATTTTGAATTCCATAATTTTTTAATTTATAGAGAAAGATTTCGTGGTCGACAGTGTCGAACGCCTTCGACAAATCAACAAAAACTCCAAGTGTATAATTATTGCCATCAAATCCTTTCAAAATATTGCTAGCCAAATCCATCACAGCATGCTCAGTGCAATGATTTCTCCGAAATCCAAACTGTTTAGGATATAAAATATTGTTTTTATCGATGAAGTTATATATTCTATTATACATTATACGTTAAAGTACCTTTGAAAAACAGGAAGGAATTGAGATGGGTCTGTAGTTTGATTCTAAAGAATCGTCACCGTTTTTATAAATTGGAATTATTTTAGCAAGTTTTAATTGATCAGGAAAGTCCCCGTTTTTTAATGAAAGTTTAAAAATAATGAAAAGAGGCAATTCGATAATATCAAAGACACTTTTCAAAACATTTGTATTAATTTCATCAAGACCTGCACTTTTATTTTTCTGAAGCATGTCAAAAGCTGAACGAAATTCTTCAATGGAAAGTTCCGAATTGTCCATAATAAAATCTGATTTTTTCAAAAAAGACTGGAATGTTTTGCTACTTGGAGAGATTTCTTTGGCTAAGTTTTTCCCAACATTTATAAAAAAATTATTCAGTCTCTCAGCAATTGTTTTTTTATTAAAAATTTCACCTTTATCAGTTTTCAGTCGATTAGGGAAGTTGCTAGATGTAATTTTTGTTTTCCCTGTTATTTCTTTTATTATAGTCCAAGTTTTTTTAGCGTTTCCAAATGATTTCTGAAGTAGTCCAGAATAGAAGTTTTTTTTTGATTGCTTTTTTATTTTTTCAAAATAGTTTTTGTATTTTTTATATTTAGTTTCGTTTTCATAGTTTTTGTTTTTTAAATATTTTTCGTAAAGCTTTTTTTTTTTTTTTTGATGATCTTAAAAGGCCTTTAGTCATCCACGGGCTATGCACACTTTTGGATTTTATAGTTTTCTGAACTTTAGGAAAAGCCTTTTCATATTTCCTTGTAAAGACGCGGATAAAGAAATCGTATGCGCTACATGTGTCATTGCAATCATTCAATAACTCCCAATTGATTTCACGCAAAAGCTGTCTAAAAATCGCAATCGAGCCTTTGTTTACATGCCTTATGTATACTGTTATGGGTTTTTTATTTATACAGCATTTAGTATTTGTAGTTAAAAAAACAGGGAAATGGTCACTGATATCCGTTTTTATTATACCACTGTTGATTGTCGAGTTACTATAATTATTAGTGATAATATTGTCAATGATAGATGATGTTTTTCGAGTTACACGCGTCGGTTTGTTAATCATGGGGTAAGCACTAAATTGAGAAAGAGTATTTATGAAATTTTTGACGTGGTTATCAGTGTTTAAATTTATCAAGTTTAAATTAAAGTCTCCGAGTAAGTATAGATGTTTTTTAGAGGTTTGAGTTAATATTCGCCTTAAGTCATTTTCAAATTGATTGTAACTGCCATTGTTTATGGTGGTCGATATAAAACTGTTATAAACGAATTTTTTTCTTTTTGGTTTATTATCTCTATAGTTAATGATTCGCAATTTGAGTTATTCACACTTAGATTATCTACTTTTTTATAATATATGTATACTTTTTTATAATATATGTATACTTTTTTATATATATGTATATATATCTATATATAGATATTGGTATTTTTTGTGTCACAAACAACAATATATCTGAGCCCAACTTAAAAATACCATGTATTCCAATACTTGCTTTATGCCAAATAAAGCAAGTATTAACCTCCCAGTTGAGAAATATATTTTTATATAAACTTTATAAATTTATAAAAACCGCTCTAAGAAGAAACTCTAAGAAAAGCTCTGAAAACAAGAAGCAATTATTATTATTTTTTATTCGTGTTTATATAACTTAAAAAATTCATTAATAAAACTTAAATCTAATT